CTTGACGGGAGTGGGGTGTCCCGCTACCGTATTTTCTCGCCAGCTGTGCACCCATCCTCCTCAGTTGCACCCCCCCCCAATGAGGGTGCATGAAGTGTGGAAGCCCCCAGGTGCGATTCCTGCCCCGCAGGGCAACAGCCCAAGGAGTCGGTTGGCTCCTTACAACAGTCTTTCTCCCTGTCAATGCCCTGGTGTCTCATGCCTCTTTCTCCTGGCCCTTGGGCTGGCTGCTGGGCTCACTGTCAGTAGCCAGTAGGGATTCAGCTTTGGTTGTGCAGAATGAGGAAAGGCAACTCGGCTGAAGATTAGGCTCTGAGCGGCTGTGACTCTGGCCTAATCTTTTTTTACCCCCACCCTTCCTTTTTGCCTTTCAACAACAAGGTCTGAGCTATGTCTGGGGGCATGTGGTACACGAGAAAATAAGATCATGTCTTGTCACTGCAGCACACCAGAATTGCCCTGGTTTGGGAGTGGGCTACTCCTGTTAGCATTCAGGGAAGTTCATTTTGGTGACCGATTTATTTAGTTTTTGATTGGATCAGGGATTGGACTTTACTTCTCAGTTTGGCTGCATTGGCCTTGTTATTGACCTGATTCCACGTGACTGCTCTTCTTTCCTCTTCCCCCAGTGAAAGGTCCTGGGAGAATTTAATATTCTGCTGTGGGTGGGAAACACTTTCAAGCATTTGGATTTGAATGTGGCCAACTCTGAACGGAAAACTGATCTGTTCATGTTAAAAATAAAGGGAGAGTTGGGAGGGCCTGGGTTGGAGGCAAAGAGTAGGAAGGTGCTGATGGTAGTTGTACCATTGATATCAAAAAGGCAGGGCAGAGTTGCACCTTATAGACCACAGGTGGGCAATTATTTTGGGCAGAGGGCCGCTTACTGAGTTTTGGCAAGCCATCAAGGGCTGCATGACAGGCAGCCAGGGGCAGATGAATGTTAATTTTCTAAATTTTTTAGGGGCCCCGTGGGCCAGAAAGAATGGCCTGGCAGGCTGCATCCAGCCCGCAGGCAGCATTTTGCCCACCCCTGTTATAGACCAACTAATTCAGAGATGCATTGGAAGCAACAGCTAACTAGCAGCTGATGAATTGAGCGGTTGATTAAAATTTATGCATGTCTGAATAGGTTAGTCTGAGGTGCGGCTCTGCCCTGCTTTCTGTCTAAGTTCGGACTAACACAACTAACTGCCTCTCAGCAATATAAAGAGTGTCTGCATTTCTAGTGTTGATATCCAGCTGCTTGAAATGCAAGCAATCAAGTGGGGTCTAGTTTTAGTCCTAAGCAACCTGTTGCAGAGCTTTTTACTGTATTTAGGAATCTGTAATTCTCTCCTCTCCTGCAAACAGTTTTTTTTTTCTTTTTCCCCCTTTAATGAAGAAAACTCGCTTCTGCTGGCAATTTAAAAGGCAGAACTGAGATCTTCATTTTCCCGTTTACTTATTCAAAAAGCACATAAGAAATAATGACAACTGCACTACAATGATTAGTTTCAGGATAAAAAATATCTTAACTCTAATATACTATAAAATAGCTTTCTGCATTGGTTGGTTACTTATGTTATTTAAATATACACCAATAGCAATGACTTCCCTGCTTGTTAAAAATTGTGGGAGTCTTGAGTTTAAAACAGAAGACTGAGAGGAGATTTGATAAAAGCCTTCAGCTACCTGAAGGGTGGTTCCAAAAAGGATGCAGACTGTTCTTGGTGGTGACAGATGACAGAACAAGGAGCAATGGTCTCAAGTTGCAGCAAGAGAAGTTTAGGTTGGATATTAGGAAATACTTTCTCACTAGGAGTGTAGTAAAGCACTGGAATGGGTTACCTAGACAGTCTGTGGAATCTCCATTGTTGGCATATTTTTAAGACCCAGCTCAACAAAGCCCTGGCTAGAATGATTTAGTTGAGCAAGGGGCTGGACTAGATGACCTCCTGAGGTCCCTTCCAACCCTAATTTTATATGATTCTAAAACACTTTCAGGCCGTGGACAGAAGTGCTGATTGAAGTACTTCATATGACCTGGAAATGTTCCAGGCAGTGAATGTACAGACATGAATGGCCAAAAAAGCACTTCAGAAGTGGTCCAAGTGCTTTAGAAGTTATCCTTAAAGAATGAGGAACATCTCTGAAACACTTCCTGAAATGCTTGTATACTCCAGCAGTGTAGTAGGGGTTTGCTTCATTCTTTGATATTCTTTAGTGGTCCACTTCTCCCTTCCCTCTTCTCCCCCATGGAGGGTGAGTGGAAAGAAGAGCTAAGGAGACAGCAGTGGAGCACTTTCCTGCATGCTGTACTGTACTTGGGAACCTCTAGAAGTTCTGGAGGCCATGAGACATGTAGGGATTACAGACAGGCATGCAGGACCTCTCCAACCAGGGGAAGCATGCTATTGTGACAATTTTGAAGTGCTTGGTGGGAAAGTACAGGGATGGTTGCACAGCCACATGGTACTAAAGCCTTCCAAATCTGTGCTCCAAACTGGAGTGGAATCTGAGGCTTTTCAAATGCATGTTTGACCACAGTCACTGAGTCTGCAAAGTTTGTGGCCTACGGCGGAACTGGACTGAGTGTACCAGATCCCGTCCAATTTTGGAAGTTTGTGGCCTTGTTTTTTGTTTCTCTGAGAGACCTATTTGTGAAAGGTGCATGTGATTGTCTAATGGTACAGGATAAGAATTGGGAGCTTTATAATCTGGAATAGCTAACAGTTTTGGGGAGGTTGGAAAAACAGAGCTGGGTTTGAGAAATTTGGACCTTCTGTCTTCTATAGATGTGCTTGTGGAACTGTACTTGTAAGTAAAAGCTGTGATTTGTATGGCTAGCTTCACTCTTAAATGGGATGACCACCCTGCTTGAAACTTAAGTTTCTTGCTCAACTAGGGCCCCTAAGTGAGTTGATGCTTGACAAAGCTGTAAGTGATTTATATTAAAACTGTGCACACAAGTATTTTATACTTGCATATTGTTGTTAGAATTTTCCAATCTCTCCAGTATGTCCTGTCCCACAAACAACTAAGAAGCACATATTTCAACAAGCAAATTTTTAACATACTGTCTGGTCTGCATATTTTGCACTTCCCTGGAAGCGGTAGTGACAGTAGCAACAAAAAATAACAACAATATTGAAACCCAAGGAGAGATTTGTATTCATTAAGCAAAATGTTTTAAGAATCAAGAACAGAATGCTGCATTTTTTCACTGTGCCATGTTTTCAATGAAAATATTTTTAATAGTAACCTTGAATTCCCAGTGCTTTCTAATGTTCTGTATGCATACTTTGTGATACAGAGAGGGAGTATTTGAGTCTTCTACATAATTTCTCTATGTTTTATGTCTCTCTTCCTTGCTTGAGCAAATACACAAATAGAGGAAAGAGATGTTTTTCCTGGCACTGCCATGCAACCTTTGTTTTTACAGAATACTGACTGCATGCCATATAATGTAAGTAAGGAAAAATGCATTGCTGTAGTATCAGAACAACTTGCACATAATTATTTAAGCTTCTCTATATCCCTCTGAGGGAGGGAAGCAGGGTGATCTTCATTTTATGGGTAGAAAAACTGAATCACAGAGAGGCAAAGTGCCCAAGGACATCTGGGAAATTATTCCTTCCAATGGCATTTAGTGCCTTTGATGATATTTTCAGGGATGGCAGAAATGCTATGGGGAGAAGGGGAAACTAAAAGGGAAGATAATGTGCTGATAGATAGGACCCTGTGTTTACCCTTTATATGTGCTAAAAGACGGAACAAATGTTTCCCCAGTTGGTACATCTTGTCTGCTTTTTAAAGTGCCCTTTACAACATGAAAAAAAACATTTGCCATACTTCTGTTTGCGTAGGTCAAATCTTTCAGTATCTGGGGACTCTGCTTGTGTCAATATGTTGTTAGTTTTAATATATCCATGTTCTTGATATTGATTGTTGTGGCTTTTATTAGATCTTTCTTTGGTTTGCTCTTTCTAGGTTTCAAGCTTGCATTTGTGAACAGCAAATTCAAAAAATAACTAAAGCATTTACACTACTGCTAAAAGGTGTCTAAACTTGGTTTTGTAATGCTAAACACATTAGCAGTGCTTTCCTGCTTTGAGATGTTTAATAATAAATGTTAACTAATTAATTCTCATGCCAAGAACAGAAGGTTTTATTTATCCCTAATTAACACATGAAAGCAGAGAATAATAAAGGAGATAGTTCAAACTTTAGCAGAAGGATGCAAGTCTTCTGAAAAACAAAACACTGAATCTGTTTTATTTTCCTTTTAAGGTGGTAATATCCTGAAGCCACTGGATGGTGTGAAAATTCTTGATCTGACAAGGTTTGTGATATCTGCTTGTAATGTAACATAGCCTTTCTAGATTTAAATGCTTTGGTAAAACAACTAAGAAAAACTACTCTTGTTTAATGCTGCAGGGTGCTTGCAGGACCCTTTGCAACAATGAATTTAGGAGACCTAGGAGCAGAAGTTATTAAAGTAGAAAAACCAGGTAAGGCTTCTTTATATTGTAAGAGTGTCTTTCAATATTAGTTATAATCTGTTCTTAGTTTTCTGTTCTCCACCTTTTGTGCTGTTGTGAAGAGTGCCCTACAACATGTGGAAAATCTGTTTGAATTATAGTTGGGACTTTTAAGGAGAAAAATGCACATTATCCCCTTTAAAGAAGGAAACCACAGGAGGATACCTTCCAGCCTACAGGGAGCTGCTTGGGGCTAAGAGGAGTGAGGGAAGTGCAGTTGCAGGCAGGGGGCACCACATGCATGTGCATGGGTTAACATGTGGCTGACATACAGCCAGGCAGGGTGGTGGAAGCAGCCCTGGTAGCTGGTAAGTCTATGGGGGCAGGGGTTGGAGGGCAGGGGCTTGGGAACTGTCCAGGGTGCTGTGTGGGCCACGTGTAGAGGGAGGGAGGTGTCCAGGTTTCAGGGCTGTGGTGGGGCAGGGGAGCTGAGACAGTGTTTGGTGCCTTTGGGTGGGCCCTGCCATCAGCACCATAGAGCTGGACTCATTGGCGGTACCAAATGCCATTTTAGCTCCCTGCCCCTCTGCAGCCCCTCTAGCAGAGGAAGGGGGCAGAGGGGGGTCCTTCGGGGGTGATGTGTCACTGTGTGGCCTGTGCAGAGGTGCCAAGGGCCAGTGCCCATGGTGTCAGGGACCGGGTGGCCAGAAGACGCTGCCCAGGGCGGGGCTGTGGCCAGGCCACTTGGTGTAGTACAGGAGCTCTAGCCAAGGATGGGGGGATGCCACCTCCTCCTCCTTCCAGCCCATGATGAGGCCTGGAGCTTCTCGCCCTCCTCTTGCTGTCTGGAGCATGATCAGGCTGAGTGTTGGTCTTCCCCTCCGTGCTGCAGCCCCAGCTGCAGCCTGCAACACGGTGCCCCAGCTGCTGCCTGTGATTCTACATGTGGTGCAATGTATGTACCTCACCCTGCAGACCACCAGTCTGCGAGTCCATGCAGGGTTGGGCAGCTGAGGACCTCCCTTCGGCAGGGCTGGAGGGGCAAGAGGCTGCAGGTCTAGAGTGGGGGGCACCAGCAGGGCTGAGTGCATTGTGGGGTGGGGTCAGAAGGGCCAAGGGGTTGTGGGGTGGGAGTAAGGGGCACCAGTATGGCTTGGGGGCTTGGGAAATTGGTTGGAAGTGAGGGGCACCACCAGGGACTGGGGGTACTGTGGGTTGGGAGTGAGGGACACTGGCGGGGATGGGGGCTGTTGGGAGTGAGGGACACTGGTGGGGATGGGGGCTGCAGATTGGGAGTGAGGGGTATCAGCAGGGTTGGGGCTGTGGGTTGGGGGTGTGGGGCACCAGTGGGGACAGGGTGCTGTGGCTTGGGAGTGAGGGGCACCAGCAGGCCAGGGGGCTGTGGGTCTGGAGTGAGGGGCAGCACTAGGAACAGGGGCTTTTGGTTGGGAGTGAAGGGCACTGGCCTGGGGAGGAGCAGGGAAGTGGCATATCAGGCCTGCTCAGTGCCACAAAACAGTGGGATGACAGCCGCAGCTGGATCCATGTCCTGGTGAGTGAAGGGGTCAAGGAGAGCTTTGATTTTTCTGTGATTAAAAACCCCCCAAATCAAATGCCAAAATATTAGAATTTATTTTATTATATTGATTGAGGCACTGGTAGGCTTCCACATTTCTTTAATATATATAAATATATCAATAAAACATTGTGTTAAACTGATATTCATGTACATAGTGGCAAAAAATGCAGAAAAACATGGATTTTAGGTTTTTTAAATTGGAGAATTCATGTGTGTGTGTTTTTTGTTTTGTTTTGGTGTTTTTTTTAAATTGGTGAATTTGTGATTACTTAGATGGGGATCCTGGTTTTCTCTGTTTATCAAGGACCTGGGGGTGTATAGTCTAATGGCCAGGCAAGGAATATTGTGATATGATTTTCTGGATGGTGAGGAAAGTATATAATGTCATGACTTAAATGCTGTTGGTGGCAATGAAGGATAGTTGAGGCAAACAAGTATAATACATACTTTCCCTAAAAAGCAATTGTGAATGATAGTGCAGTTTATGAGAATATATTGATTTAAGAGTGGTAAGAGTTGGGACTAACCTAACTCTACTCTACTAACAGAAATGGTTTGAAATGAAGAAATGGTTTTGTACCTAGAATTGGTAACCACACTGATGGCATCGCTGATTACTGGTGACACAATACACTTTATGTGGTGACTTTGCTAGATCTTGCAAGATGGTGGTCCTACAATTAGCACTGTATATTACTGTAGCAGGGCACTAAGGTGCCTGCTACTGACAAGCAGTAATATGGGCTCAGCTGCCAGTCACCAGGGCAGCACAGCTGCGGGTTGCTGGGGCAACCAGTCTGGTCACCTGACCGGAAGGGGGCAGGGCCTGGCCTTTATAAACAGCCAGGCTGAGGCGGGAAAGGCAGTTCCCCTCTGGCAGCGGAAGGAAGCTGGAGCAAGCAGGGCAGGCACAGCAGAGAAGCCTGATGGTCTGGGTGTCTGCTTGATGGTACTGGGTGGAGGAAACCCCGATAGGGATATGTAGGGAGGAACCAGGTCGATTTGGGATTTATGTTATAGCCCAGGGGCTTTGTGTTTTCTGTTTTGTTATTGTGTAACACTGGAGGACCGGGTGAGGCTGTAGGGGTTGGAGGAGGCCTCATGGGAGCTCCCCAGTAGTGGGGGAGTTCCTGGCGCTGGAGAGGGCACTGCATTTTGGGGGTGTCCCAACCCTGGCCCAGTGTGGGCAGTATAGGGAGGAGCCCAGTGTGGGCGCAGGCAAGAAGCCCCAGTGGGGCATAGGACCCGGAAAGAGGGTCTGGGGGCCAGGTAAGGCCGAGGCCACTTGAGCCCCAATTGTGGGAAGCCCCAGTGGGGCGCAAGACCCGAAAAGGGGGTCTGGGGGCCAGGCACGGCTATGGCCACCTGAGCCCCGATTGCGGGATTGTGGAGCAAGAGGCCCCAGTGCTGGCGAGGGCTCGGAGCAAGAGGCCCCAGCGCGGGCTGCGTGAGCATGGGGGACAGACCCCAGTGCGGGTGACGGTAGGACTTACGTGTAGCCCCTAAGGCTAGAGTGCACCGGGGCAACTAGACAGAGCGTTGGCTAAGTTACATCAAGGCACCGTGTCAAAGTAGATAGAAAAGGCAGCCTCCCCTAAACATTTAAAACATCAAAGACGTGGTGGGCGAGATTGGTGAGGGTGCATGGACACCGGCTTGACACGGTAGCCAGGGGGCGCTAGGGGAGTTCACGGCACCCCTAGGTCGTGTCCTGCCACAATTACCCTGTGAAATATCTCTGATTCTATGGACATCTTTACACATGCTTTACAGCATCTCGTGTGTTCAGTGTCCTGCACTTCAGAATGGTGGCGGGGGTACTGTAATTAAAGCTCGTTGAACAAACTTTAGTTAAAGCCCCCCCCCACTGCCATTTTGAATACACGGGACCGCAAGTCTGCTGGAGCATCTAACTAGAACGCTCCAGTGACTTGATTAGTCGAGTCGGCTCCACCACCGCGTTCTAATTCAAGCATGTGGGAGCAGGTGTCGGACACGTGTATAAGTGCCCTTTAGCTTCATCACTTGTTTCTCAGGGAGGTCTTGGAAGTGCTTCAGAAGCACTCCCATTCTGTTTGACCTCTGGAAGGAAAATACACCATCTGCTTTTACAGCTGGATTTCGTGAATCCTTGGCGTCTGGCATATTAATCAGACATCTGTTACTTATCGAAACACCAAGCTTGTAACTGGTCACTCCAGGCTCTTTTCTCCCATTAATACTCAGTGGATTTCCACATCTAACTCCCACTAATGTAACATAAACCTGTGTGCTTGTGCAAAATTTTAGTATTGGGTTCCTCACACTATGAAAATAGAATCTTAATTTTGTCTGATTCTTTACTGCAGCAGTTATGAATTGTAGGACTGGTGCTTCTCATCACAGGGGTGCAATAAAAGGCTTCTTAACAGTGCCTGGATGCCATAAAGTGATACAGCCAGACCCCACAATATATGTAATAAATTAAGTCTTCTTACTTATATCAATATCTGATGTAGTGGAATACTAGAAGGTCCATGCACTCATGCACTTTCCCCCCTTCAGTTCTACAGTAATTAGCACATGCAGTGTAATCCTTGGGAGTGGTGATTGTCAAAGCTTTTGTAGTGAGCTTTCAACATCTACATGTCATAACACTTTCATTTGGCAGCTTATGAAATTAGATTTGTAGAAAGGAGAAAAAAATGCCATATTCATTTTAATCCAAGATGAAGATTTCCCTCGTTCAACTTTGTCGTGGGGAGGGATGGGGGAATTCCTTGTCTTGGATTCAAGTACAAGGTAGGGTAGGTGGTGGTGGTGGCAGCTACTGCTGTTGTTCCTACAGTTCCAACTCCAGCCTGAGCCCGAGTTGGTGTCGGAGTCAGAGCTGCAGAAGCCACCTGCCCCCTGCAGCTTCTCCCCTCTCCCCTCTACTGCATACTATTGAATGTGGCTCCAGCTCCATCCTGTCCTGGGGCTAGAGCTGTTGCTGTTGCTGTGTGGCCTGGCAGGGGACAGAGTTTCCATGTGCTCCATGTCCTGCACCTGACAGTAAGCCGTGGAAGGGGGCAGAGCCTGTGTGAGGCAGGTTGGGGGGGAAGAGACTGCAGTGGGCAGAAACTGTTGGGACCAGGTAGTAGTGGGGCAGAGGCTGCAAAGGGCATCAGTAGCAGGGACACAGGCATTGAAGTGGGGGGATAAATGATGGGGGCAAGAGGGCTGTCTGCCCTCCCCTCCTTTGTCCCCCACACCTCCCTGCTGTTGTTTTCAAATTTAAGGCAAACCTCTGATAATTAGATTCTATTCATGGGAAATGATACCAATTTATACATTTTCCATATAGAATCTAATTATTGGGGCATCATCTTACATTCAAGTAATCTTGAATTTGGATGGATAGGGTAACAAGGATTGATTTGGATGGATGAAAAAAATGAATGTTTTTTGTCTGTAAGTCTTTATTGGTGTA